ACCGAATTTCAGATCATTTGGTTGTAAAACCAGGGCCTCAGGATCCAAAAATCCATTTTTTGTCGAAAAATGCCCCAAAAATCCTTCATAAAATTTTTTCAAAGGCATGTATCAAAAAAATGAAAAAAAAACGCCTGGGGGTATTGGCCCACTCTACCATGGTAAGGACTGAAATATAAAAATGCCACACATTTGAGTATAATATTCATATCTTCTTGCCATTGTTAGCGGAAAATTGGACCTTTTGAGCATAGTTTGTGCCGGAAAAGAATTTAAGAAATTTGTCCAAAATATTCGTGCACATGCCCGTTGAATGGTTCTCTCCTTTGGGACGGTGTGCGCCAATACCTCGTGTTATTAGGTAGCATTGTCCGTGATAGTTAAACTGAACATTTACTGGTACAATCAACACCGAATTCATTAACTTTTGGAGTCAGTACCTGGCCTTTGATTCCCACCACCCTTTGGCTAGTTTGGAACAAACTAGCAGTGATCAAAACTCTCTTCCATCGTGCAGACAACATTATCACTTCAGACCAAGCCAAAACGGACGAACATAGACACCTCCGAGGTGCCCTGGCTAAATGTGGCTACCAAAAATTGGACTTTCAACAAAGCGCTCAAACCTTCAGGTCAGTCTAAGAAAACCCAGAAGTGCAAACCATTGACCAAAAAAAACAAGGTCAACATCACTATTCCGTATGTCCAAGGAGTATCTGAGAAACTCCGACGGATCTTCCAAAACTTCAACATAGCCACTAACTTCAAACCTCACTCAACCCTCAGACAAAGACTGGTACACCCTAAGGACCGACCTCACAAAGGTACCAAGGCGAATGTTATTTACAGACTCAAATGTGAGGAGACCAATTGTAACAACACCTACATCGGAGAGACAAGTCGACCGCTCAAAGTAAGATACAAAGAACATTGCCGACCTAGTGCTAACGGCTACTCCTCAGCTATTTTCCACCACCTACAACACAACCAGGGTCACTCTCGAGTCCATGGATATCTTAGACCGCGAAACACGCTGGTGGGAACGGGGTATTAAAGAGGCAATATATGAAAGAATGTACAACCCCACCCTCAACAGGGAAGGGGGGCTACGGGTCGATCTTTCCGGCACTTGGGATTTGGCACTCCCAGCCCCGAGGACAGACAACACTTAAGCTCCTGTTCTGTATAACAGGAGCTTTCAGACTAATTTGCATCATATTGTCTCGACTTGTCTGACTTTTGTTCCTTTTTCGACTTCCAAAAATTTGTCTTCACTTTATTTGCATATCAATCAATAGGTTGTGCTTATAAACCTGCATTTCCCCTCTGGTCTCGCAGTCACTGACGAAAGTTAGTGGATACTAGCTGAAACGTCTGACGTTCTCAAAATCATATCCAGTTGCTTGAGTAACTACTTTTTGGCGTTTTGGAGTCAACATTGACAAAAATAGGTAAGCACACATATATTATAAAATACTAATTGATAATGTTCAAAATCCCTCTCGCCCTACAAGATCTACATTGTGTTCATAACTTTCGAACCAATATTCCCACCTCATGATACAGACCCGTACATATGGTGCTAACCTAAACTCCCCAAAGTACAAGCATCTCCCTGTTTGGTGAAAGTCCTGTAAGTTCTTCCTCAAGTCAACCAACTACCCCACATTAGCCCGAATTTTTTTAATTTACTTCCTATGTCACTAATAAATTATATTAGAACAATTTGAGAAATCGGAGATATGAATTACCTCCGTGAAACGAAAGTGGTCTTCTTATACAAAAAGCATGGCGACAAGATAGGAGAGAACAGAAAACCCGCAGCAGAATCTTGTATACTTGTTCTTTGAATACATACAAGATGCAGTAACACATCCCCACCTTTATGGTGGGTGATGTACTTGTAGGTTCAGAAGGGGTTGATGTCTTCAGGCGTGTGACCAGCGCTCATAGGACGTTTCGACCTTGTCCCGCTACGCCCTCCTGCTGGCCGGTCGACAGTGGTGGCCGGTCACTGTCCATCTCCCCCCTCTGGACTCCAGATCTTCGCGTCTCTTTTGAGCCACAGCCAGCATGAAGCCTTCTCTGCCGCTTCTCCTAGTCTTCTAACTGCTTCCTTCCTCTCTCTTCCTGTCAAACCCAGAGCTTTCAGTACTCTCCAGGCTGATGCAGCGGGAAACCCCCTACATCCGATCTCAACGGGGAAGAGCCAAGTGTTCCACCCCGTCTCCTTGCAGTTTTCCATCAGTTCTTGGTATTTGCCCATTTTCCTTACATGGGCCTGCTCACATCCCTCTTCCCAAGGCACCGTCAGTTCAACCATCACTATATTTCCCTCCGACCACAGGACAATGTCAGGCCTTAAGGTTGGATACTTTATTCAGTCCATTAGCTGTCGCACACAAATACACGAATACACAGCTAATCTTCCTGGACCGTAAAAACATAGAACAAGGACATACAAACTACATAAAGGCTAACATATAGTATTTACAATTAAAACATGGTTAATCAATTAGGATTGATAATATGCAGCACGAGCTCCTGCCGAAACCTACACTTACTAGCGCATTTAACGCCATCAGGCAAAGTGTTCCATGTTAAGGCAGACCTATACATAAAGTCTTTTTCATGGCGTTAGTTTTGGGTTTTGGCAGTCTGAATGTGTGTCTGCTTGCATGGCGTGTACATGTCTTGCAACTGTGTTGGTCTGTTACTGGAAGCAACTGCTTGTACAGAACAGCCGGCTGTTGTGTGACAAGAATCCTCCGGAGTTGAGAGACGGTGTTTACCAGTAGCCTTTCTTTAACAGTCTTCCTCTACAGAAACTTGTGCAGATGTTGAACTGGGGTTTTAAAGTCACGATGTAGAACTAGACGAGCTGCTTTGTTTTGCATGACTTGTAGTAGATGGATATTCTTCTGTGAAATATAAGACCAAACTGGAGAACAGTAGTCAACGTGTGACAGTGTGAGGCATTCTACTAGCAGCTTAAGTAATGAAGAGTCCATGTAGGTGGCACATTTCCTTATCATTCCCAATGCACAGGCCATCTTCTTTGCAGTAGCTTTTGTATGATTGTCCCAAGTGAGGCACTCATCAAGAGTACTGCCTAGGAATTTTGTTTCACATACTTGCTTGATGACTTGGCCATTAGAATATAAGGTGAGTACTGGGTTCTTTTTTATTTTTGGTTTACTTCCAACTACCACTGATTTTGTTTTGCCTGCATAGAGAAACAGTCTCTATCTATTTTACCATAGACTGTCCAATTACCTCAAAGTGACCCAGTGGGAGACACTTTGTACTGCGCAAAGACTGCCCTGTTTTTTAAATAAACGGCAAACTGGCCATTACCATCAAGATTTCTCGCTAGATATAATCTTCACACATTTATGATGTGGTCGTCATAGGCAGAGTTGCGGACGAGTTGTGGACTTCCCGATAGACTGAGAGTGTGGTTTCTGTAGTATAATCCACCGATGTCGTCGGAAAATACACCGGACAATAATCCAAGTAACAGCAAAGAAGCCAGAAACACGCGCCGCCACGGAGGCCCCATGGTGACGACTGACTGGTAAATGGGCAATCTGCGCAGGACTTGTCCTTTTGTTTGCATATTGTACTTGTGTACATTTCCCTGACGTACTTGTTAACACAACAAAAATCTCTCTGCGTGGAGTTGTTTTTCTACCTCCATGCTCTCTGGTATGATAAGAGGGTCTTTGTGCCTTTCCTCGTGAGGCGTGTCGAGTTTTTCAGCGCTAATTTCAGCAAGACCGCTAAAATATAAAGCCCCGGTCACACACAGCCGAAAATGGCATTCCAAACACATACTGCTGAACTCCCCACAACCATGATTAGGAGTATTAAGAGTAATTGCACGAGAAAACCAGACAGAGGTCGGAAGATGGGGGTCGGCCAAATCGGCTCATACTTTGTATGTGAGATAGGTATGGGGAACTATTAACAGTCGTATATTTAAAACCCTCCAGATATTTTTCGTTATGGAGATCTGGGACCCCCCTCCGAGAGCCTCCGAAATCAGGTAATTTATGGCTGAAAACTACTGAACTTGCGATGGCTGCACTGATATTTCTAATAAAGATATGGATAAAACGTTTATACTACCACATAGCAAAGCTTTTCTAGTTTTACAGACCCAAAGTTCAAGAGGACACACAAGTTAAGAGGGTGTGACAGGGGGTTATCGGAACCAATGAAAGCAGAATTTTCATCTCTATGCATTTTAGTCATCTTTAAGGCGCATTATCTCATATGGGCAGTGGCTTTGGTGAATGGTTTAACTGTGGTTTGAGAGAGGAACATCTACTGACTCAAAAACAAGCGTCGTTGGTTTGCGCCATACACAACGCGAGCCGTAACTGAGGGGTCTTTATGGGGGATTTTCGGGTTTGGGTCTATAATAAATCGGGCAATGACTTCTCACTACTGGGTACGTTAGGGCCAATGTGGGCATGTCGATGTGTGATAATCATTAGACAATTATCGAAGAAGCTTTAATGAGAACTTGACACCATACGAGCGTACAAGGAGTCAAAAAGAAAAACTAAAACTGTTATTCCCCGAAGGAGACCACCTGAAGAAGACCTGGCCAACGCGACTGCAGCCGCCCTGAGTTAGGTCCGATATCAAGGCCCAATATCCATGGTGACCACGTCATTTTTGATCATGTTGATTATTGATGATACCTAATGAGAAATCATGATGAAGTCAGCCAGTTTGCATCGACGGATGGACGATGTTTTTATTCGACGTAAATTGTGGACGTAAGTACCATGTGTCACCCTCCTCACATGCATTCACCACAGAGCTTACAGCATTTAACATTTAAAACATCTCGACTTGGAAACCATTTATGTCTCAGTCATGTTGTGATGCGACCCTCTTCAACGAGATCACCTGTCTAAGGTGACCACTTTTTATTATTGAAGAAACAATACAAAGACAAGGACACAATGGCAAAGTGGGACACTGCACTCAAGGTATACACTTATCTTAACAGCTCACTTTAACTTAAAATGGAAACAGACACATGCGAAGAAAAACTCCCTCCCCAATACAATATCATGTAAACAAAAGTACTAATTATTACTAATCAACCAAAGGAATTACAGCTGGAAACGTTTCGTATCTCTTATATAAGCTTGAGTAAGTAACAAACGTTTGTGGCAGTAGCCAGAGGGTATCGTCAAGGAGCCTCTGAGAACAAGATGGAGTCGAGTACTTTTAGAACGACTATCTAAATCAATCAAATGCATGGCCGACTAGATCGGCAAGGTTGGCAAAAATGTTGCTTTTTGCTGGTTATACAACGGACACTTTTCTTCAGGTTGACTGTACTTCTAAATTAAAACATCGATGTCAGCCTTGTCGGAACTTTCTTTACGTAACTTCTTTTGCCCCACAGAAGACAGGGAGACTTTAGTGCGCGTACGAGGCGTTCCGAAGAGTTCCGGACATGCCCGAACACCCTTCGTGATCTCATCGGCAACCTTCGTGAGGTCGTAGGCGATTTCTTCGGAAACGACGGAGTCAGATTTGTATTTTGGATGATTCTGGACGAAAGCTCGAATCCATCGAGCTGTGGTCATCAGTTCACCTGAAGAAAAAAATGTAGAAAATACATTACAGAGTGAATTTCAAAAATCATTTTGTAAGTTCGTGTCTAAAGGCTAGTTGCAAGCACGTGGATTTAATAAATAATCAACTGCTAACCTCTACCAGACTTTGGGAGCCGGTTGGAAATTGGTAGAATACTGAAATAGAGAGAGAACATGTCAGGGGAGCTGGTCCTCTAGAAAGTACAGTTTGCAAACTATTATAATTCTCTAGCGGACCAACTCCCCTTGCATGCTACATCTCTCTATTTGGCCAATCGCTTCTGAAGACTGGTAGAGGCTAGAAATGCACACAAATGTTTAATTCTTAGGGCAACACTTCGAAACGTCCAACTTACATTTCTCATTGTATTGTTCCAAAATACTTTTACTCTAAAATGATATACGTACCTGAAGCCCCTTTCTGGATAAGCTTGAGGTACTGCTGTGTTCATGTATGTATGTATGTATGTATGTATGTATGTATGTATGTATGTATAAATATATGTCCGTACCTAAGGCCCTTTTCTGGATGAGCTTGATATACTGCTGTATTCATGTATGTATGCATGTACTATATTATCATTATCTTGATTGAATACTTTTATTATGCTCTGTACTTAAGTCTGTTGTAATTTTATATTGTTAATTGATTATTTTAGTTTAATGTCGTACTTGTTACTTGTTAGCTTACTGTATTAGTAAGATATGTTGTGTACGTTTAATTCTTTTTAATGTTTTTGGCACCCGAAATCAGCTTTGCTGCCTGGGTGACCAATGTATTGTCTTGTTAAAATAAAATTTATGTATGCATGTATGTATCTGTGTGTGTGTGTATGTCCGTACCTGAGGCCCTCTTCTGGATGAGCATGAGATACTGCTGTACAGAGCACCTGGTGTCCACATCGATGTCGACTGTCTCCAGGTAGGAGTTCATCAGAGACACAAGACCCTGGAAACCGCCAGCCTGTCCAGGGGGAGACAAAAAATATACATGATTGTGCAGCTCTCAAACGCCATTATTTAGTTAATTGCAGTGTATCTATGAAGTAGTGAAGTAGTTCAGCACCAAGGACAGGCCTGCATCACAACTACAAGGTCCTGGAAACCACCCGCATGGAGGGGGGGGGGCAAAAATATACACGTTTAAGTTTTACAGTTTGTATCCATATAGGCTGTTACTAATGACCAAAAATATATGATTGTGGAAAACGTTAGGAGTTAGAAGCATGTTTTATTTCAATAGGTGTGTATTTTGACACTTGAACTGCAACTGTAGGCTGATGAATGGAAACTTCAAGAACATTTACATTTTTTTTATTAAGAAGCCATAAAGAATATACAAGAATATACTGTATGTCTGACCTGGCCGTTGATAATCTCGTTGATTGTCATCTTGGTGTACTCCTTATCCTCTTCCTGCTCAAAGCATCCGTCGTTATACTCACTGTAGGGCCCTGAAAAGGTTTCGATATCAATAAGCATTTATATGCCCTTGATGAATTTATGCCCTTGATGAATTTATGCCCTTGATGAATTTATGAATTTATGAATTTATGAATTTATGAATTTATGAATTTATGAATTTATGAATTTATGAATTTATGAATTTATGAATTTATGAATTTATGAATTTATGAATTTATGAATTTATGAATTTATGAATTTATGAATTTATGAATTTCGATCAGGTCAAGTACATCGCAGCCATGGGCTGAATTGCGTACTTTTTACATACTTAAAAACAGTCGGCATTAGGCTTTTTAAATACCGATAAGCACTCATCATACCTTTCCTATTTGGCAATTCTAAAACACAAGAAGCTCTACCTTAAAACAGGTATGTTGTAGACGGATACGTCATAGTGGTCGTAGTAGTTCACACACGAATACAGTATAGTATCAACCATGAATTGGAAGTAAATGCCCGGAACAAAAAAAGCAAAATAAAAGAATTCTATTTCTTTGGACTGCCAATGAGGCGAACCCTTCGAATCAATTTAAGTTCACGTCTATTTGAGCAGAAAGGAAAAGATCGGAAACCAGTCGCACTTTGTATCAAAAACGCATATTAATACTTACTTGGAGGTAGAACCTAAACTAGTTATAGTTATGTTACATGCTCACGTTCATTCGTAAATGCTGAACCTGTTTCTGTAAATAATTTTACCCCAGGTTACATTTTCAAACTTACTTGGAGGCAGAACCTCCTTCCTGAACCAGAACAGCCCCTGTCTGACAGCGTCTCGCTTCTGGGCCTCCTGCATGTTTTCATCAACCTGGTGGGAACAAGACAACATTTTACACATTATAAGAATAAGATTTGTGGCGTCGGGTGGCGTAGTGGTAGATCATTTGACTGTGAACCAGGAGACCCGGGTTCGATCCCGAGTTGTACCCGGGACATGTCTGGACATGCGCCCGAAGTTGTGTCCTTGGGAAAGGCACCTTAAACGACTTTCCTCACTCTACTCATGTGTGAATGGGTACCTAACTTCGGTTGGGGAAAGTCGTATTGAGGTCACTTTGTGGCGCCGAATGGCAGCCGCACAGACCCTTGCGACAGTTCCACAAAACGTGGAACAAAATATGTTTCATGTGTATTATGTGTATTATTACCATTTGTATCATCTGATTGTGAGCCCTGCGTCGATTCAGCACTATAAGGCTGCGATTGCACGGGTGATGTTTGGCCAATAAACCATTTATTGTTAAACACATTAAAGTAAGCTATCAAGATAATAACCAGCTAATAGTCGAAGTGGTATAAGTCAATAACATGAAGACCATGACCTGAAGACCATGCCATTATAAAAGAAGGGCCGGTACATGATGCATGGGTGCATTGTACCATATTCTATATCTGTATTAGTATAGACGGTATACTCGTGGGAAATTTGTTACAACTCCAATACAGTAGAAGCATTAAAATATGTAAACCTATAACTAGAAGTTTGCTTACCTTCAAATACATGTAGTATATCCTATTACAAACTACAGTTTATTCTTACTCAAACACATTCATATACCAGTATTGTACATGGTGACCAGCCCCTTCGAACCGGGTTACCCTATCCTGCAAATTGCTACATAATATACCCAACACTACAGGGTGCCTGCTACAGCACCAGATACCATGGTGGCAGACGTCTGGTTCAGGTCATTGACCTTATCTGTTTCTCCTAATGCTGCTTTGTAACTAGACAAAAGTTAGACCAACCTTAGATATAGGGATGAGGAAGTTGAGGTTGTAGGACAGGATGACTCTTGTCAGAAGGACGATGAACACCACATACGCCGCGTTCTCAAAATCCGTTAACTGTGCCTGTACAAAAAAGAAAGGATTTCAGATTTTCGGGAAGTATTCGGGGGGGGGGGAGGTTCGTGATCGTCAGGTTCGCCCCATTTCCTGGGTCTAGCCTTTTGACATGTACGTATTTATTTTGATTTTTCACAAAGTGAAAGGGGGGGCAAAACAGGTGCATACGCACCTTTACAAGTTGCCCTCCCCCTTTTAATACATGCAATAAAGAAATTCCAGTCCTAATCAAGGCAGAAAGGCAAACGTCATGATTCGGAATATGCAATTTTAGATTTTTTAAAGAAGATTATATGTTGCCTTTTCTAAATTCAGCTGCGATGGACGACACCAAATTTTTTTCCCATTGACATTGACAATTCAACTCAATTTCAACACTTTATATCGTGGATTATGACTGTTTGGAGCATGTGTAATATTAGAGGATGGCAGTTTGGTTCAATACTAGTATACTGGCATGGGTTACAAGAGTTTTCTTTTGCACAACCAAACTGCTTAACATGCTGACGTTTCAGTGTCTATCAGACACCTTCTTTAGAGCTTCTGACTGCAGTTCTGCTTCTCGCCGCTATATGTAGCCTTTGTAGGTGGAGCTTTTGCGGCGAGAACGCAATCCCAAACATGGCTGAGTTTGTACCTCCCCTTGTCACTGTTCGGCTACATATAGCTCTTGAAAAGCTCTTGTATCCTATATTTTACCAACCTGATAAAACTACTTTCGGAACTAGTATACTGACCTCCATTGGCCTAAACTCCACGCGCCAGCCTATAGTAGAGTTGGGAGGAGGCGGTTTGAATCTCATCGGCTGCCAGTTTGTAGACTGAATGCTCTGTAAAACAATATCAGTATGTTAATGGATAGGCTAAAGTTGATTCAACTTACTACATTAAAAATTACCAAAAACAGTGTGGATACTGTATTTGCGGCTATCGCCAAAGGATCTGCTTCTGTATCTGTATCTGTATAGCCAGTATAACCGCCCTTCGGCGTAACACACCAGCTTCTGTATCTGTATAGCCGGTATAACCGCCCTTCGGCATAACACACCAGCTTCTGTATCTGTATAGCCGGTATAACCGCCCTTCGGCGTAACACACCAGTTTCTGTATCTGTATAGCCGGTCTAGCCGCCATTCGGCGCAACACACCAGCTTCTCAGGCACACGACGCGACGGCAGCTGGCTACATTACACCGAGCTACATGTACTTGCTACACCTAACCCATGAACATCTAACACTCAAGATTGGAGATTGTTATGTTGTCTGCATTTGAAATAAATGAATAAAAATAAAAGATTGGAGATTGATTCAGACCAAGAAAATCTCACCTCGAAGTGATCTGTTTCCTGCTCATCGTTTTGGTGGATCTTTTCGCTGAAGAGCGAAATCGGATCCCGGATAAACAGGTGGGCAAAGTGACGGGCAAGAGACCTGTCCATACCTGCGGGTCAAAAAAGTTGATTATCAGACTTAGGTCTGGTTCGATTAAAGCATTCTTCACTTTCTGGATCCTATAACAAAGTGATGTCATTTCTAGCCCACATTTGCCTTCATCAGAAGGCTATGAAATCACTTTGCTATAGTGTGGGAGACTATGCGGCATAACTCTTGAAGGCATGGTTCGATGTTCAGGATATTTGGCAGGCAGGTTACCGTTTGGGACACCAAGGTCAAGTTCAAAAAATGGGCCTCGTGGAGGGACCCTACCTCACGAAGTTGATAAGGCATCACCTTTAATTTAGACCCCCCCCCATAGAAAAACCGTTCTAGTGCTCTGACTAAGACAAAGACCTTTATTGACACGCCAAAAATACAGCGACGAACAACATTTTATCATGTATTGTCCTCTATATAACGAAAAACGCACAGAGCTGTTCAGCCTTCTGTCCACTTGCTTAACGGAATTTGTTACATGATGCAATTTCATACTAGACCTCAGAAGGTAATGGCCCTTACTGTGTGCATATAGGTAACTATATCAAAGAATGTTTAGACAAATTAGACCTCAGAAAAAGGAGTATAAGTCGACTCATCTATTGTCTTGTACTTAGGTTACTACTGATTTCCTTTGAAATTGTAATGGATTTGTCTGTACGAAAGTCGCTGCACTTTTGTTGTGTCAATAAAGTTCTCAATAAATTTCGATGTGTAAGACGAATCTACAATTCATCCTCAAGGCTGCCATGACTTTCAAATGTGTATGAAATGAATGAATGAATAAATGAATGAATGAATAAGCCACTCTATTGCTACTACATTTAAGCATAATGTATCCAAAATTCTTGTGCCTTTAACTATTGAACTGTTCTATAGGTCGATGACCCCTAACCTGCGTTTTGTGAATGAATGCATGAATGAATGCATGAATGAATGCATGAATGAATGCATGAATGAATGCATGAATGAATGCATGATGAATTCATGAATGAATAGACAAGTCCACTACAACAAAATTGAAGCATAGCCTATCCAACATTCTTTTGCCGCTAACTGTTCAACTGTTCTCAAAGGTCGTTGACCCCAGACCTGCGTCCTGAAGTTGCTGGCAGATGTCCTGGTCCAGAACAAGGTCAATGTCGTTGTACTTCTCGGCCTCAGGAGTCAGGTAACAGTCGATGGAGTCATACCTGGACTTTGGAATCACAAACCTGTCGTTTTTCAGAGGCTACAGAGACAAAAATTGACTTTTAGTAGTGAGTTTATTTCGTTTTGCATCACATTTGATGACATACACACGCATGGCTGATTAAAACTAACTTGTTATCAGTTTTTTTTTAATTTATGCCATTCAATAATAGCCAGCAGCGTGCTACTCAAAAAGGTTGAAGTCTTCATAATCCCTTGTCCCTTGTCTTGCTTCAGGGGCTACAGGAGGAAAATATTTCTATCAGTCAATAGCGGTCAATTTCATCTAGATATTTATGTTTACCGAAAGAAAATATATTGTTTTTGCTCCGTTTCTTCTTCTCCAAACAAATAATGTCCATGACCTGAACTAGATGTCTGTTACCATGTGTATACAGCCCTTGGTTCAGCTTACTACTGAAGGTCATACAATTTTCGTGAGTTGTGGAACTGCTTAACTCCGATTATAAAACAAAAGCAAACGTGGCAGATAAAGATAGGAGTGTGGCTGACCTCTAGTCCCCTTTCCTCCCGTGTCCTACAGTCGACAGACTGTGCGATGATGTTAAATCTGCACTCTGTATCCACCAGATACCCTCGGTACACTGGCGCAGCCGCAGTCAGAGCCAGCTAAACAGACACAAACATTCGCATTGAAGTTTGCTTCCTCTGATATACAAAAGATTATCTATCTATAATAGTACTGTATTTATATATATTCTATATATATATATATGTGCGTGTGTGTGTGTGTGTTTGTGTGTGTATGTGTGTGTGTGTGTGCGTGTGTGTACGTATCTATCTGTCCATCCATCTAAATATATATCCATCCATCCATCCATTCATATATCAATGTATTTATCAATCTATCCATCTATTTATCAATCAATCAATCAATCGATCGTTCGTTCTATCTATGCAGTATCAATCCATTTATCCATCCAGCCATAAATCTATCTATCTATCTATCTATGTATCTATTTATCTATCTATGTATCTATCTATCTATGTATGTATCTATCTATCTATCTATGTATGTATGTATCTATCTATCTATCTATCTATCTATCTATCTATCTATCTATCTATCTATGTATGTATGTATCTATCTATCTATCTATCTATCTATCTATCTATGTATCAATCTATCTATCATACTATCATACCATCATACTATCATACACTATCATACACTATCATACACTATCATACACTATCATACACTATCATATACTATCATACACTATCATACACTATCATACACTATCATACACTATCATACACTATCATACACTATCATATACTATCATACACTATCATACACTATCATACACTATCATACACTATCATACACTATCATACACTATCATATACTATCATACACTATCATACTACCATACTATCTATCCATTCATTCATCAATTAAATTTCATACTTACAAAGATCGGACAGAGCGGCGTCAGCTGATCATATAAGCGCAGGGCCTCCCCCAGATCGCAAGCCTGGAATGTACACTGTATACACGGACAGCCCATTCCAAACGCCATATGGTCCATATAGATGTGGTCGTCTTTAGCGTGCCATGACGCTTCTATGTCGTCGTTTGGGAATGTGTCCCTGAATGGCTTTGGCGTGTTTATATCTTTGAGAACTGCAAAGTTGAAACGAGAGTGGGATGAAAATATTGTCTGTGTGTAGCAGGTTGGAAAATAATGTTTTATATCAAATACAGTCGTTAGAATAACCAATGATGTATGTTATGTTATATGTTATATGAAAGGCATTTCTTAAAACACCTATTTCCTCACTCAGTCGTACCTAGCTTCGGTTGGGGACGTCGTCTCAAATTGGACGTAAAACCGGAGGTACATTTTTTGAGGAGAGCCACATAGCAACCGCACTTATCCAAAAGAGTGAAGAAGAGTCCTTAGTCCCGGTGTGAGTGGTTCAAATTTTACGTACGGTCTTACGCAGCTTGTACGTACTGTAAAAACTTGTGTTAAGCCTATAGACGGCTTACCATTATGCAAAGCAAACAAACAAACCATTACCTGGTGTGTTAATGCAGACTTTTTCTCCTCTCCTCTCTCTTATATTGCGGGTCAGAGTCCTACATGGAGAAAATATGGCAACTAAAATGGTATAATAGCCAACCAAAAGCAATTAAGTTTAAATCAGAGAGAAATCGTTCAGGTATGTCAAAAATACAGTAACTATTTTGCAGTGTTTTGCAATGATTTTACAATTTAAGGCTCTTATTCAAAACCACCAGCCAATTTTGTTTGTAAGACTTATTTACAACCTAACTCTGCTACTTCTACCTCTATGCTACATTTCTTGTTCTAGTTCTTTTCCATGGAGCAAAATAACTCTTCTGGTTCTTACCTGAACCTGGGATGATGGTTGATCGCAGCGTCAGGAAAGAACAACGAATGAGATGCTGTGTTTACTGTCGGGTTACACTCCACCTCTGGGTCTGTAGAGCCTGGGCAGCCAACCCTAAATAAATAAAATAAAAAAAATTAACAGCCCTCAGTGGCCAATGTGCAGATGTGCAAATTGTCACATCGGCGCACCAAATCCGTAGTACATGTATGTTTTTGGCACACAGTTAGACAGATTAGCCTAAGAGGCTCGGTGGGCGTCACTCCACCGTATAGGTGGGGAAATCGTGTAAATTGAAATTGTTTTCTTGATACAGCAAGAAAACTCAAGAAACACATGTGTTTCTTGAATTTTCTTGCTACGGGGATTCTTTAATTTCTTGTGCAAAGAATAATTTTCTTGCTACAACATACATTTTCTTTGTACAAGGAAAAACAAGAAAAACATTTTACCTTGGGAAGGCAGTGAATGTGATGACAGTTTCGCCTCTTTCTTGGTCAAGTACTGACAGTATCTCCTCTCGTCTGAAACACATGAAAATTACACATTATTTACTTCGGATTCTTACAAATATATAATCGTATAGTTCAAGTAAAACAGAATAGAAGTTACATGCGTATCTTGCAAAATTATCTGAACATCTTGAAAACATGGGCCTAATATTACCTCTGTTGTTTTGAGGTTTGGGCTTTGGCTTATGTTTGGCGTGTTTGTAGGCTTTACATTTGGCTTTCTTTTTGTACTGGTATTTTTTGTACTTTCGCTGGCACAAAAAGATACTAGTACATATATGAAAGCCCGATAAAAAAGCTTAAAAACACGCCAAAGCCCAAACCTCTGCTTGGAGACTAGAATATTGCGCATCATTTACCTCAGCCTCTATGCTTGTTAGAATAATGTTGTGTTTAAAAAAAACTATAAGCACTACACAAAATCCATTCTTTCTGTACATATTAAAGTTTGCGTAAAGGCACCGTTTCTTCCTTTGTGCGCACCTTTTCGAATGTTTAAAGATGTGATTATAGGTACGATTTCGTGCATACAGTGAACGCTACTACGTATATAAATCGAAAGACTTTAGATTTAATACTACACTGTATAACCAAGGATATTATATAATGGCTTTTTTATATAACGTTAGCAAAGTGGGGTCTGAGATGTTCGTACTCACAAGCCCCTTTTATTTTTTCGAATAATATCTATCGAACAAATTTTTTTTTTAAGTTACAAAAAAATCATTTACCTCAGCCTCATGTTGGCCTCCACCATGTTTAAATGCTCCATGAGGTGTCCGTATGGCCTAACCGGCGACCCTTCCACAATGAAACCGCCATACTCGGGTCGCCATGTCGCGGGGTAGTCACTGTAATATGAAACAGTAAAAACAACAAATATGACGGCTAGCTAATAAATCTAGCCTCCAGGGTTCAGAATTTATTTATTTATTTAAATTGCCAACATTGATTAGGTCCCCCGTCTAGCTGCGGTCACAACCCGCCGTGCGTGCTTTTTGTCTGTACGTTTTTTTTGGGAGGCCACGTCTGCTACGTTTTTCTGAAAACGTGGGGAAGGAGTGGCGTCTACGCACGTCACTCACACGGTTGCGCAAAGTGTAAGGGTGTGGTCTGCACACCACGTCTTCCCGTGAGCGGTTGCGTGCATCGCACGTTGCGCAAGTGGTAAGTGAGTTGTACGTGCTTACAACGTACGATCTCTGTGCGATTGCAACTTTACCGCAAGGAGCCGTACTCACACGTGCTTCTTCCGTACGGCACGTACGGGGCACGCCCGTCGCTCGTACTCGCAGGCACGGGTGGTGAATCCGCAGACCGCACGTAGAAAAAGTTTTACATGCACTTAAAGTTCTACGGCGTGTCTGCGTGCTCCCAAATCCGTAGGATTCCGTACGGAAGCGGTACTCACCACGCACGGATGCCCTACGTTTGCCCACGTTTTTGCACGTAGACAGCACGCAGAAGCACGTACGGCGGGTTGTGACCGTAGCATCTCTGTTGGGTGATGGTTGGCATGCCCTGGCCATAACTCTTTTAGTGTTTTGTGCTTCTTACATGTCAATAAGCAACAAATATCATACTACATGTAATTTCTAATAGTGTCATAATGCAACGAAAATAACAGAAAAAGCTTTGTGGCATGTTTCGTACATTGTACATGCAGCACGTATAACGTTATTATTCGAAGCAACCTTTTTTTTTACCTCGGACTTTCTTTCTCCCTCCTCTCCAGTATTTCCAGGACTTCGTTTCCCTTCAGACTCAGACGGGCCGTCTTGTTGTCTGCGTCCATAACAACCAGCATGTACTCCACCTAGCAACCAACCATAACAGTTTATTTCATGCTCATTATCATTTTCCTTACTGCTTAGCCCTCAATACAGAGGATTGCTAGCAGCTGCGCAAAGTTAGTACCTGTGTGCAAACAAATAGTAGGATAGGGGTAGACGTGGAAAAGTGCAAGAACTGGACAAGTGAAAGTAAGTAATGTTAGTATACTTACACATAATTACATATGTACAAAGGACAGTTCAATGCAGCGAAGCCCGTCCCAGGTAAGATATAACAAAGATACAAAGGACATCTTTGAGAAAAATAAATGTTTTATTAGGCAAGTCCATTCTAGAGTGCTAACTGCAACATGAAACAAGTCAATGTCTTAAGAGGTTATACAGAAAGTGCAACAGTGCAGGTGATAAGTTACCCTGGTGCCAAACTCGTTTCGGGCCACCAGCCGTTCCCTTCGGCAGCCAAGAGCCCTTCGCCCGCTTAAGCGACGGTCACAACTCGCCGTGCGTGCTTTTTGTCCGTACGTTTTTGTCGTGGCTACGTCTGCTACGTTTTTTCTGCAAACGTAGGGTGGCCGGCCGAGGGAGTACGTCACTCGCAAGGTGCACGTACGTGGTCTGCACGACACGCCTGGCCGTCAGCGGTTGCGTGCATCGTACGTTGCGCAAGTGGTAAGTGAGTTGTACGTGCTTACAACGTACGATCTCTGTGCGATTGCCACGTTGCCGCGTACAGGCCGTACCTACACGTGCGGCGTGCGCACGATTTCCTTACTCACTCGCACGTTGTAAGTGCGTGCACCTCCTGTAAACTTCATCATCACTAGCCGCCCTGGTGTCTTCCGCGGCCCGTTTCTTTGGATCTTGTCTGGTAGACTTCTTTTGAGCCTTCCTGGGCACCTTGGAGACGAGTTGGCAGTCGCCCGTCAAGTCGTCTTTATATACTGTAGAAATAAGGTGCGTTGCACGTGCGTTGCACGTGCGGAGCACCTAGTATGGTGCACGTGTGTTCTGCGTGGTCATTGAGCAGGTCAACTGGGAAGTGAGGAGTAAGCACGGATGACGCAAGCACCGTGCGTGGCACTCACGTGCTTCGTGCGCTGTCCGTACAACAATTGCACGTGAGAATAGTGAAGTTAGACTCACGGAGTCCGTACGTTGCACGCTCATAGGCTGTACGGGGCACGCGCGTCGCACGTACTCGCACGCACGGGT